TTAGTTGGGACTTAAAGGAAGCCAGGGAAGCCAGTAGATAGGAATGAGCAGGGAGAGCATTCCTGGCATGGGGAACAGCCAGAGAAAATTCCTGGAGCTGAGATGAAGTGTCTTGTTTATGGAACAGCCAGATGGCCAGTTATCACTGGATCAAAGAGTAGGTGGTGGGGAGTAATGCATAAGACTGGAAAAATAGGAGGGAGCTAGGTTTTGAAGGGTTTGAACACCAAGCAGAACATTTTGTATTTGATCCTGGAGTCACAGGGAACCACTGAAGTTTATTGAAGTGACACGGTTTAGGAAAATCACTTTAGTGGCTCCACGGATTGAAGAGTACCCAGCAGGGAGTGAGGTGAAAGATGTCTAGAAAGGTAGGACGGGACTAGGTTATAAAGGGCTTTGAATGCCAAGCAGAGCATTTTGTATTTATTCCTGGAGACAATTGGGAGATCTGGAGTTTATTGAGTGTGTACTTGTATGGGTGACCTGATGAGACCCGTGCTTTAGGAAAATCATTTTGGTAGCTCCATGAAGGATGGATTGGAGTGTGGTGAGACTTGAGGGAGGCAGATCCACCAGCAGGCTATTGCAATAGTTCAAGAATGAGGTAATGAGGGTTTGCAAAAGAGTGATGAATGTATTAGAGGAGAGGAGAGAGGCATATTTGAGAGATAGTGCAAAGATGAAATTGACAGGTCATGGCAACAGTTTCTGGTGTTGCTCCCTACAGCAATGAGTTCTGTTTTGGACACATTTAGATTAAGATGTCTACTTGATATCCTGTTTGAGATGTCTGAAAGGTAGTTGGAGATGTGGAATTGGAGGTCAGCAGAGAGGTAGATTTGAGAATCATCAGCATAGAGATGGTAATTAAATCCATGGGAGCTGATGAGATTCCCAAGTGAAGTAGTATAGAAGGAGAAGATAAGGGGGACCAGGACAGAACTCTTTGGTTAGAGGGCTTGCTCTGGATAAGTATCCAGCAAAGAAGACTGAGAAGGAGCAGTCAGATAGGTAGTAGGAGAAAAAGGAGAAAGTGGGATGTAGGAGAGAGTGATCAACAGTATGAAAGGCTGCAGAGAGATCAAGTAGAATGAGAACTGAAAAAAAGGCTTTGGATTTGGCAACCAAGAAATCATTTGTAACTTTGGAGAGGGCAGTTTCAATGGAATGATAAGGCCAGAAGCCAGATGATAAGGGATTCAGAAGAGAGTGAGAGGAGAGAAAATGGAGGTACCCACTGAAGACAGCCTTTTTGAGGAGTTTAGGTAGAAAGGGTAGAAAAGATATAGAATGATAATGGAAATGGAAGGATCAAGTGAGGACTTTTTCAGGATGAGGGAGATACAGGCATGTTTGTAGTCAGTTTGAACCAGTAGAAAGGGAGAGATTGAACATAAGTGATAGAGTGGAGATGACAGAGGAGGCAATCTGTTGGAGGAGATGGGTTGGAATGGGATTGCTTGAAGAGAGGAGTTTAGCCTTGGTAAGGAGTAAGGCCACTTCATTCTGTGAGACAAGGGTAAAGGAGGAGATACTGGCAGAAGGCATCTGAGTGATCTAAGATGAGGAAGAGGGTAGAAGGTGCTCCTGATGAATGGCCTCATTTTTTTCGGTAAAATACTCGGCAAGGACCTCAGCTGAGAGATTGATGGGAGGGGAAGCTATAGGTGGTTTGAGGAGAGATGAAAAGGTTTAGAAAAGCTGCTGTGGAGAGTAACATAGTGAGTTGATGAGGGAGGTATATAGTAGGATTGCCTAGCAACAGTGAGGACCAGTTGAGGTTGTATGTTTTACATGTCTATATATATATATATATATATATATATATATATATATTTATCACACATTTGTGTGACTTTTTTCCACCTTCATTAAGTAGCACATCTCTAGGAGTAAAGATGTAAAATGGTAGGCATAATCCAAAGCTGAGTCTTGGCAGGGAGTAATTGGCGATATGATAAGGGGACTAGGGATTCAAGAGAGAACAGTATAGAGTTGATGGAGAAAAGAGGAGAGAGTGGCTAGTACAGGAGAGATGGCCTGGGAGAGAATTGAGGCGTCAAGGGATTGGAGGTCATGGTGAAGATGAAGAGCTAGGTTTTCTAAGGGAAGGCAGAAGGAAAGGTGAAAAGCCAATAGATTATGGTCAGATAAGGGGATTTCAGAATTATGGAACATGGCAGTGGTACATTTGTGGATGATGGCCAGATCAAGGGTATGACCATCCTTGTGTGTGGCTGAGGCTGCGTGGACTAGTAGCTCGTGGAAAGTGAGTAGGTTGAAGAACTGAGCTGTTAGAAGGTTTGAGAGAGAGTTGATATGTATGTTGAAGTTTCCTAGTATGAAGGCAGTAGATTTGGAGAGAAAAACTGTAAGCCTTGAACTAACTGAAGAAGGAAAGGATAGACACCTCAAAGAGATCAAAGACAAAAAGAAAGTAACCAGATGTTCAAGAATATTCATAGCAGCACTTTTTGTTGTAGCAGAGAACTTGAAAATAAGGAGCTGCCCATCAACTGAAGAATGGTTGAAGAAATTATGGTAAATGAATGTAATAATAAAACATTCTTCCTCTGAAAGAAATTATGAAAAGAATGGCTTCAGAAAAACATGGGAAAACACATGAACTGATAGAGAGTGAAATGATCAGAAATAGGAGAACAAGTTACACAGCGAGTGTAACATAGTAAAGAACATCTTTGAAAGTCTGAAGGATTCTTATTAATGTAATGGTCACCTGATGGTCCAGAGGACCAATGCTAAAATACCATTGGTCCCTACAAGAAATGTTGAAAAGAATGAATTCAGAGAAACATAGGAAAATAAGCAGAGGTTGGAGAAAAAATTATACAGTGATTACATTAAAAGAAAAACAGCTCCGAAAGACTTAAGGATTCTGATCAATGCAGGGGCCAACTGGGGTGCAGATCCCCTGTTTAAGTAAGGCAGCCAGGTAAAGCACCTCTTTATTTTCCACATGGCAGATCTCCTAGATTTCATGATCTTTTTTTTTTTTAATATTTTTAGGTAATTGGGATTAACTGACTTGCCCAGGGTCACACAGCTAGTAAGTGTCAAGTGTTTGATCTGAGGCCGGATTTGAACTCAGGTCCTCTTTACTTCAGGGCCAGTGCTCCATCCACTGCGCCACCTAGCTGCCCCTAGATTTCATGATCTTAACCACTTCCTTCCCACCTCCCTTTCTTTTAAAATGTCTATTACAAGAAATGTTCTTTGGGTAGGGGATCAGGTGAAGACTATGCACAGAAATGAGCATGGTGGTACACAGTTTATAGGCCCAGCTGCCATGACACTGAGGCTGTGGATCTCTTGAACTTCAGAGTTCTGACCTGCAGTGGGCTAAGCCTATCGGTATCAGATAGGGCACCAGGTTGCCTAAGGAGGGTTGATCTGATCTACACTGGAAGTGGAGCTGTTCAAAGTTAACAGGATGTCAGGTGAGTAGCCCTTGCACTTCCAGTAGGAGAGATGGGTGGAGGAGCCGGGAGTCACAGAATCTTAAAAAAAAAAAAATGAATTTGATGAAACACCAAAAAGGTATCAATTAAAAAAAACAACATAAAAATAATCATTTGCAAGAACTTGTAATTGATATAGCCTGGAGAAGAGAAAACTTAAGAGGACACTGCTCCTTTGATATAAGAGATTAGATTTGTTTCAGTCTTCTGGCCAACTGAGACCAAGAGCAGCAGACAGTTGAAAAGGCAGATTTAACTTCACATACACAGACACAGACACACATAGACATACATGACTTCCCAAAGATTGTTGTTTTTCAGTACTATTGGACTGTTTGTGACCAGGGGGATCATACTGTTCATGGGATTTTCTTGGCAGGGAGTCTGGAGTGGTTTGCCATTTCCTACTCTAGTAGAGGTTAAGTGACTTGCCCAGGGTCAGACACAGTAAATGTCTGAGGCTGAATTTGAACTCAGGTCTTCTTGATTCCAGTCCCAGCCCTTTATTCACTGATCTATCCAGCTGCCCCAAAGATTAGACCCAGCCACAATTGGAATGGGCTGTCTCATTGGCCATGGTTCCTCCATGACTGTTGTACTCTACTTGGGGATACAATGGAAGGGATTCCTGATCAAGTACAAGTTGGCCTACATAGCCCACAACATCTCTTCCCGTCTTGGGATCCTGTAGATTTCTAATATCCATCCTGGTTCCACATCCTATGATCCCATGATCCTTCCAGCTGTGACCTCCTCTGATCTCCAAGCCCACGCAGGGATGCCTTGGAAAAGGCAACCCTGGGCTAAAAGGACCTCAAGGCTGGCTCCCTGGGTGCAGGGCCCTCTGGGATCTGTAGTGCGGGGCGGGGCCTGGGGACTACATCTCCCAGCGGTCCCCGCGCTGCGTCCGGAGCACCAGCTTCAGCCCCCTATTCCTCGGTGGTGCTGGAGGCGCTCGGGGAGCGAGTTTTCTATTTAAATCCGACCAGCGAGGAAGATGGCGGCGGGCGGTGAGTGGAGATAAAGGAGGAGGAGGAGGAGGAGGCGGCGACGGAAAACGGGGCGGGGGCGAAGGGTTGAGGGAGGAGGAGGAGGAGGACAAGGAGGAGGAGGAGGAGGAGGAGGGCGAGCCCCGCCGCTGGCGTCCCCGCTTCCTCGCCCCTCGGAGCGCCCCGAGCCTCGGCAGGGAGGGGGGTCGTGTATGGTGTGTGTGCCGTGTGTGTGTCTGTGTGTGTCTGCGTGTGGTGGGGGGGCGCGCCCGCGCTGCCGGGGCGACTGAGGCGGCCGGACCGCGGCCGGGCGGAGGAACTGAGGCGCCGACGGGCGGACAGTCGGACGCACGGACGGGCGGGAGCCGAGGTACGGGGCTGTCGCGGGCCGGGGGCGTCCGGGAGCGGCGCGAGGGGGCGCGGGGCGCACTGGGGGCTCTCCCTCCTTCGCCCCAAAGTTTATTTTGCCCCTGCCTTTCCCAGCTTTGGCCACTTAGAAAGCAGCAGTTGCCCCGTAGAGGAAGGCGACGAAAACCCCAGCAAACCTGTTGGGGCTCCTGTGCCGTAGCCTCCCCCCCAAAAAAGGACAATTTTGCGCCCAAGTGGCCCATACTACAATTTTCTGCCCATCAAGTCATCACCAGAAAGGTGGGTCCCTGGCCAACAAGGAAAGGGAAAGAAGCGGCCAGATAAGTCCGAGTTAAATTTGGGCTTTGGCCATAATTCTCCCATTTTCTCGGGCTCACAAAGGTTAAAAGTTTTATTTTAATGATTAAACACACTGGGGCTCCTTTCGTTTACCTATATTCCTAAAGTGTGGTCTTTCAAGTCACTGTTTCTAGTCCATTATAGAAGACGTTGTAGAGTGACGAAGTTGTTCAAGATGAGGAGGGTGGGGAAAAAAAGGAAAAGTATTGAGTTTGTGATAGAATACTCATGAAGTTACCCAGGGATTCTTTCCTTCTTTAAACCCTCTCTCTCGCATTCTCTCTCTCTTCCCCCTCTTCTGTGGGGAATTATTTTGCATTTTTGAGCTGCACTTCAAACCAACCTGTTTTTGTGACTAACCTCGTACTGTAGGAAAATGGAAAGGCAAAATACCAGCTGTCTCGATGCATTGGTTTCAAAAGGAGTTGAATGAGATGAGGGCAGTGGTAGTATTGAGCAAGATTCTCGAGTCTCTCTTTCATTAAGAGAAATAAATGCCCAGCTTAGAATACTACACCGAATACTTACTGCAAAGGTTTAAGTGTTCATTGAAGCACTTCATTAGGTTAGAGAATAATTTTTGAAGAAATCGTCCATTTTTAAGAAACCATCCTTGCAACGTATACACAGACACATAACATATTCTGTTAAAAAAAATCCTGTAAGTTTTTGGACAGTTTGTTGGCTTTGGAAATATTTAATCTATTATATTGAGCTGCTCGTTTAAAATCTTTCTATGCACATCATGTTCAATATGTAGGTAGTGAAGAAAAATGAAATGAAGAGGGAAAAAACATAATTAGGAATCTTGCATTTTGAATGATTTTTTAACCTGAAATTGGCAGTTAAGCTACAAAAGAGCTTCTGAATATTACACACCTCTTCTAATCTTAATCATTTTATGAAGAAATAACATTTGTGGGGCTTCAGGAGGGTGAAGACACCCTGCCAGTGCCCATTGTTTGTGTGTAAGATGAACCCTCTGTTGGTAACATGTAAAATGATATTGAACACTATACTCTCCCTGACACTGCCGGCTGCTTCAGGTCCTGCATTTAAATGAGCAGTAATCTGGGTTGCCCTGATCCTAACTGATCAAATATTTTGTGTTATGTTGATGGGAGAAGTGAATTACTTGACTATAATCATATAAAAAATTAATACAACTTCCTACTCAGCAGAGCACAAGATAGGAAGGAGGTTAAGATTGTAGAATACAAATAAGATTTCTGGAATAGGTAGGTTAGGAAATACTTGTCTCAAGCATTCCTTAACTACAATCTTTGAAAATGCAGTCGTTGGAGAAAAATATAATTTTGTATCTGTGGACTGCTGAGTTCTGATACAGGAACCTCCTCCTTTTTTGTGTATTTCAAATTCTGAAACTGTTGCATTATAAATCTGATACATATTAGAATTTCATTTTCAACGAGTTTATCACAATGAATAGAACTTGGAAGGGCATAAAACATGCTTATATAAACAAAAATTATATGATATTATTTCCCAGTAGTTTGGAAATGAGTATATCAAGAATGGTTTTCCTGAGTTGTGTTTCTGTGTAGGACATGACAGTATTCTTTCATGTTCTTCCTCCACCCCTCCCGAGAAAAAACCCCAAATCTCATTCAAACCTCCCCCCAAAAACCCCCCACAGATAGATTTGAGTTTACATAAGGAGTGTGATGTTGATCACTTTCTCTTAGGTGATGTTTTGATGCAAAAGTTAACTGCTAAAATGGTTATTTACAAAGGCTCCCCTTGCTTTAACCCGGTGTATATTTAATTAAAGATTTGAAATAGGCTTACCTGCAGGGTGAGATGTCAAGAACTTTGGTTATTGTAAAGAAAGGGTTTAAAAATTTATCCATCTGTTTGTAGAATCTTTTCCCTTTGATTTATGACCATTACATTTTGGATAAATCTTTTAAGAGGATCTCTTCACTTGTTAATTTTTAGCCTGGGCAATAGGGCAACATAAAAACTCTATCCACTTGACCATAATTGGTTGTGAAAGTAATGCCTTTATTTAGTATTTCCAATACTGTTAGGACTGGATGATTTTAGACTTTGCCCAGAGCATTTACAATCGTTTTGAGAACTTTTAGTTTGTTGCAAATTTAAACTAAAGATAGCTTCCAATGGCTGTCTGTCTACATGGCAAAACTACTACAATTTAATACAATTGTTAGTTTGTTAATAAACTGCCTAGGACTGGAAAAGCAAGAGTTGTTGAACAGATTGAAAGTGCACTCAAGACTTAATAGGCCTTAACATTAGGTCTACTGTTACCTGTTTTTAGTTTGAACTTACTTTTGTAGTGTACTATCCAATGTTTCCTCTGTTTTCTGTGATACTAAAAGGTCTAGTGTTTTGAGCAGAGAGGACTCGAGTATGAATGATTCTTTTTTTTTTTTCTTCCTCTGTTAGAGTGCGATAGAGGAAAGAAAAAGCTACAAGTAACAGTCCTGATTCTCAGGAGAGGGGAAAGTTGTATTGAACTTTGGAAGTTTGCTCATTTTCTATTTTATAAAATGGTTTTAAAAATCATTGCATTTTATCTTCAAAAGCTAATTTATATTAATTTTGCTTGTCATTCTTAGAGTTAAGGAGCAATCTTGTGATTGGTCTAGTATTGTTTATTGTAAATTTTTTTTCTATAGTTGTTACTGTGGCTCATTGTCTTTCTGGGAGTAATTGATGACTTTTTTATTTAACATAATTCTCTCCTAGAAGTTCTTCCTTAAATTTTCAATAAATGGGATTCTTAATCTAACTTTAATTTCAATCCACTAACATGATAGAATTGACTTTAATTTATTCTCCTTTCTCTTTTTCTGGTGGAGATGTTAAATGAGCAGTGAAAGGACCAAAAGATTCCCAGCAGGAGTGGAGAGAACAGGCAATGGCTAAGAGGCTGGTTTATCCACAAAAACTAGATAATTTGATTCCAGATAATTGAGAGTTGTGACCCTATTTGATCTTCTCAGCACTAACTCAGTTCCATATCTATCTTCCTGCCTAGGACAGTTTATGATGGGCCAATAATAAAGATTTGTTTTTTTCTCAGTAGTGCCAACTTTGTAGCCTAGAGGCAAAAGAAGTAGTGTGATGAGCTGACTGGCAAGCAGGTTTTACCTAAAAACAAAATTAAACTCTATGCAAAACTTCTAATTGCTTCTATCATATCTATGTAACTTTTCCTCCCATCTTGCACCTTGATGTTCCATGTTACTCCTTAAAAAAGCCTTCTCCTCCTCCCTAAAATTAGAGAAGACAATAACTGTGTGATTTTGGGCTGGTCACAGTTTTTCCAAGTCTCAGTGTTCTCTTCTGTAAAATGGTTCATGATATTTGCTTTATTACCTCACTGAGGTTTGAACCAGGTATTTTGGAAGGCCTTTATGGAAAGGATGTGAAGGAATTAAGCTAACATTATCTGTGATCTCTAATGGTATTCACTAGTGTCTACATTATGAAATACTTAATTTTCATTGCTTAGAGACTTTAGATGAGTATTTTGAAGCCCTAGTCTTTGGAAACACTTAGAATATATTCCCAGAACTCCTAAAGTTAACTTTTGATTACCCATATTAATGAAGGTGAGGCAACATTAAGCTGGATAATACAAAACAATGTATAATCTACTCTTCCCCTGGGTTTTACTACTGCTAGTATTGAGTAGAAGCACTGGGTTGTTGAATGGGTAGATGAAAATGCTTAGATTTGAGGGTAATCCTCAATTAGTTCAAATCTCAAATGGGTAATTGAAAACTGAGAATACAGGTCAAATCCTCATTATAACAAAGTTCAAGGCTCTATCCAAATAATTTTGTTGTTTGACTTTATTTTAATATTACTTGACATAAGTAGGTTAATGGTTGAAATCTTTTTGTTACAAAATACTGAGATTTTTAAAATGGTATTTTAAATAGATTTGAAATAGTTGAGTTGGCAGTGAGATTTTACCTCTTCTGTGTTAAAAAAAAAAATGCTCTGGCCTTTTGAATGGCCTGGGGTCCTACTATGCTGGGCCAACAGTTCTTTATCCTTACTGCTTAGTTCTTTTAGTTCCTTGTTTAACCTATTGTTTTAACTTTGTTGCCAGTAAGTTTATTAACAACTGTGATTTAAACCACCACTTTAGAGCTATGGGGAACCATCCTGAGGACTTTGCATTTACTTCTGGTTTCTTATTTTTGACCCATTTAGAGATCCCCCTTGGCCTTGTTATTTGTGAAGAGGCTTGTCATAAAGCTAACATTTATTTAAAAAGTAATAATAAAATATATAGTTTTACATTTCCTATTGTAGCTCTGTATAGTTTGAGACTTTATCCCCTTAGATCTTAGTAAGGTCATATGTAAAAATAGAAGTACTGGCAATTTGCATAACTTGACTATAAAGGCATTTCACAAACTTCCTTTATTTAAATTAAGCAGATGAGAAAAATACTGTTCCCCTGCTTGGATAGCTGTAAGTTATTCTTTCTTCTGGACTCCCTACTTTAGGATGAAGGCCTCCATCTTTAAGGTTGGCATTTTTAGTTTGCCTTGGCAATTGTGATTGGACACAGCATTTTGACAGGCTATTTTAGAAGTCATTCTTTTAAATAGATGTTCCATGAAGGAGGGAAAATCTGAAAGAGGGAATTTCAAAGCAGCCCAAGACTGTTTTGAAAGTTCTCAAGTCTTGAAGAATAATGGCTAAGCAGTAGGCAGGAAGCCTGCAGTTGTATTGTGGTATTGTTCCTCCATCTCATGCATTTGAGAACATTAGAACAAAGAGGGAGAGAAGTGAGGATGAAAAAAGAAATTTTAGCAAAAAAAGAGAAAGTACTGAGCAAATATTTTTTAAAACTCTTAACTGAAATAAAACTTAATTTTTGCTTTGAGTGTAGTGGAAAAACTTGTTTAATAAACAGTAGTTTAAATTTCATA